GGGTCGGGCGTCTCCACGGCAAGGCGAGAGCTCGTCCCTGGGTTCACACCGTATGTGCCTGTTGCAACCTCTGCTTTTGTGCGCGTGGCGTGGCATGTCCTTGTGTACCTGGTTGTGGTCCACCCGGGTTGCTTGTTCCGGAACTGTCTGTTGCAGGCGCCGTGTCTTTAGATTTAAATAAATCGAGTCAGGGTCTATTTTACCTCTCAGCCTTCCCTGCATACTCTTGTTTTCCGTTTCGCGTCTTCATGCCCGTGATAGCTTCTGTTTGGTGCATCTCCTTGAATCGTTCTTAGAAGGTTTATGGTTCTACTGGCGATTGTTTTCCTAGTTGTGAATAACGGGCGAAAACTCTTCGTTTCTCACTCTTTCTGCTTCAGAAGTGAAATCGCATCTCCCCCTTTCGAAGGGACGGGGAGGAGTGAGCTGCTCTGTTTCTTCCGCCCTGGTGTTTGGTGTCAGTAAATCGCCACTTTTAAAAAACATTGTGTCTCTCCATTTGTGGATTGTATATTATTTGTGTCTTGCTGGGAAATGTTTGTATCGTTACGATGGTGACTCTGCGGCTTACTGTGAGGCCCCGGGCAAACAACTTCTCTTTTATTCCTCAGTTTCCTTGTCTGTTAAATGGGGATAGTCGTGGCCATGGCAAGGATTTGATGATGTGAAATGATGCGCCCAGAACAGCGTGGTCCTTCCATAGACCCCACGTGCTCTGTAATTTCCTCGACACCTGGTGGTTGCTGCCTTCATAGTCTTCTGTGTCCTGGGATAAATCATTCTCTAAGCCCCAGACTTCATCCACCCTTCCTGTTGTGTGTGTTTTCCTCATGTGTCTGTTGCTTGCAGAGAGGTCGCAGGTTTTGGGGGCATTCTTGGCTGCTGGCTGGGTACCCCTAGACACCTACAGGGGCAGGTGGGGGAGTCTCTCTTGTCACCCTGGTCACCGATGTGAAATTTGCAGCGGAAGGGCGCCTATTTCTCTGTGAATGATTATTTACGTATTTGTTGGACCCTCACTCTCAGGGCGGTCTCTGCTCAGCGGGGAAGCCCTCAGGGCTTGGGGCTGCCCCTCTGGGGTCTGAGGAGAGGTTGGGTTCAGAGGAGCCCCCACTTTCTGCTGGAGGAGGCTGCCGTGTTGCCTGCACAGCCTCGCGGCTGCTCCGCCTCGGGGTGCATCCTGCCAGTCCGGGGGCTCCACTCACTTTCTCTGCCCGCCAGGGGTGGGCCGCAGGGCCCCCTCTCCTGCAACCCCGATGCCAGGAGCGGACGTAGGAGGGTTTCCCAGGATGCCTGCAGCCCCCGCAAGGAGGGGCTCCGAGCCACTCCGGTGACACTTTCTTCCCCACGTCCAATCCTCTGCAGGACCCTGGGAGCGTCTTAGCCGGACCCTGCGGCCGCTGCCTGCCCTGGGAGTCTCGATAAGGTTCCACATTCTGCAGACCAGAAAAGCAAAGCAGAAAGATGAAAGGGGCAAAAGTTAGTGAGTCTGGGCAGAGGGCACATGCTCCCTCCCTGCAGCCCCTCCCTCGGTTTGGGCTTTTCTCAATATTGAAAGCTGCCCCCTCCCGAAACCAGCGTCTGCTCTTGCCCCTCGCGAGCCCCCAGGTGACTAGAAGTGGGTCAGAGAAGCATCACGGGCCACGGGGCAGCGGGGCAGGTCGGTTCCTTCAAGATTTTAATTAGGAGGAGGAAGAAAGGAGAGAGAGCTGGTGTGCTCGGGGGTTGCCTCAACCACACGTGCTGGGGGTGGCCCCACGCGGGTCTGAGTGGCGCAGACTGTGAGCGAGTGCCGCCTGGGCGCTTGTTGTTAAGGCGTCGCTGTTTTATTTTGTTAGGTGCGATCGCGGTTGGTGGCGGTTGTGGTTATTGTCACCAGTAGTTTAGTCTTTACCTTTGGGGGCTGCATCGTCCAGTACAGCAGCCACCAGCCGCAGACGGCTGTCTGCGTTCCGCTCGTCACAGCCGCACAGAATCAGAAGTTGCTTGTTGGACGGCGCGGCTGGAGAACTTTTTGGTCATGGTGGATAGTTAGTTCCGTTGGAGACACAGTCATTTATGAGCAAAATAAAGAAGTGGGAGGCAAGTGTTTGTGGTGGGCCCGGGCTGGGGCGGGGAAGGGGCAGACCCAGGCAGGGCTGTGTTGGGAGGACCAGAGAGGGCCGAGGTCAGGGAGGAGTTTGGTCTTTATTCTGAGGGCGATGGGAGGCATTGGAGGGAGGGACAACAGCTAAGTTTAGCTTCTAAAAGCTCCCGTGCCAGGTGTAGCTGCGGGGACTAGAGCTGGGGTTCTGACTGGTGAGGCCACCTGGGGTACGGCGTAGGAGGGGCATGGTTCCCGGGACTCTGGCCTGAGCCCCCAGGTGGAGGTGCATCGCAGAGCTGGGGCTGCATGATGACGTCCCCGGGCGGATCCAAAGCCACACCCCTGGTGTTGTGCCCAGGGGCTTGGGATAGGGCCGGCATCCACCAGGGTTTTCCTGTCAGGCTCTGGGACCCACTCCCAGGTCCTGAACTCTGGGGCTCGGGCTCTGGCAGTTTCTACGCCGGTCTTCCTAGGAGCGTAGCGGTCAGCCCACCCTCACTGTAAAGGGCCGTGTTGTGACTGTCGTTGACTGTGCCAGCCAGACGGTCACTCTCACCGCCACTCGGTTCTGCCGAGGCTGCCGTGGATAGTGTGGGAACAGACGGGGCGTGACCGTGTGCCAATAAAACTTTATTTACAGAAACAAGCAGGGGGCTGGACTTGTCCATGGGCCGCTGGGTCCTGCCCAGTACTTAGTGCCTGTGGAACCTGCTCCCTCATTCGCAAATGGGCCACAGTCACGGATGAGCGGCCCAGGAGGCCAGGGATGGTGAGGGTTCATTGAGCACAGTGTTCATTGTCATCCTTGCAGCAACCTGGGCAGGTGGGTGGCTCTGCCACCCGGTCGTCTGGAGTTGGAGCTGAAGCCCCGAGGGGTGGCTGTTCCCCCTCCCCAGCACTCTCTGCACGTCCACTTTCGGGCCCCTCGGTGGCTGGGCGGTCCCAGAGCAGGCAGCATCCTTCCCGGGCACTGCTTGTGAGGACTTCGCCTCTAACATTAAAAAAAAAAAAAAAAAGGAATCATAAAAAAATTATACTCCAACAGCTACGTCTTATTCTATTAGCACGTTTTAATTGCAACACGAGCAAGGAACGTGTTATGAATATTCATGACTGGGTTATTAAAATGCATAATTAATCGGTGGGGGATTTTAATAACTGTATTAACGTGGGGGGGAGTTGTCCTTATTTTTGTTGTCGCTGGAAATGGGGAGGCCGAGGGCTGGGCAAGAGGGGTTTCCTGAAGGGGCAGAGCGGGGCTGTCACCTCTGTCGGGGGCTTGTGGGGGCCGAGGGCTGTGAGGCCGGGTGTGCGTCCTTGCCAGACACCCTGGCTGGCATGGGGCCTCCCCTTGCTCACTCCAGGAACCTGGCACCTGCGGGTGGGTTGCAGGTACCCGCCGGGGTGGGGTTGCCCAATGCAGGGACGCCCTTGCCTGAGGTGGGGGCTGTGGCTGACGGGGAGCGGACAGTAGGCAGGTGCCTGTTGAGGGAAACGGAGGCCCAGCAGGTACTGGCGCTGTGCCCGAGCTCATGCACCCAGCCCCCTACCCCTGGGCCCAAGTGAGCGTCCAGGATCTTGGGGTGCAGACACCCCAACCCAGTGACAAATGCCAAGTGGCTTCCTGGAGACTATGAGAGCCCCCTGCCCGGCACCCCCATCCACCAAGGCAGCACCCCAACCCCCCATCCCACCCTGTAATCCTGTCGGAAATTTTTGATTAGAAAACAAAGTCTAAATGAGTGGTATGAATATTCATCAGACAGAGATTAATATGCATAATTATGCAGATTAGACAGCAATTAAACACCAATTCTCTGGGGGGAATGATTAACACAAAGGCACCAAAATAGAACAACGCAATTTGGAAGAAGTTTCTGGTGTGGATGAGCAGGGGCGGGGCGAGGGAGCCAGGGTGGGGCGGGTGGCCACCTGGTGTGTCCAGCCTGGCTGTGGTGGTGGCCCAAGCTGGTGCCCAGCACAGGCGTCAGGGCAGGGGCTCCCTGGCCTGGCGCTCAGTCTCAAGACTTGGGCATGGATACGTCAGTCCAGCAAAGTCCAGTTTGTAGCCCCATATATGGAGGAGGGAAACTGAGGCACAGGAGTGGCTCGTGGCCCCCATGAAGGGGGACATAGTCCCCAGCCCTGGGAAGGGTCTCCAAGCAGGCACTTCCCGGAGCAGAAGATTCTGGAGTCCTGGGCGGGTGCCCTGAGTGAAACTTGTTCCAGGAGATAAGGGCCCCACCCTGCCCCGCCCCGCCCTCGGGACCAAGGTCCTGGTCCCCAAGCTGGTTAACTCCTGCCCTGCCATAGGCCTTCCCACCACCCCGACCAGCCCTGCTTCTGTGTGACAGGGATTCGCTTCTCCCTCGCTGGGCCACCAACCTTGTGATTAGTGGATGGTTCCTGGCAGCTGCTGCTGCTCTTCCAACAACCAACAAAGGGATGGCTCTGCCTCCTGCATTGGCAGCAGTAGGAAGAGGGAGACTCCAGCTTCCTCAGAGCTCAAAGGGTCAGAAGAGCCTGCACCTGAGGTGGAGACACATCAGCCTCATGGGGTTGGGACTGGGTCAGAGGCAGGGACCTGAGTCTGGGAGGAGGAGGCTTAGTGTGAGTGTGAGGGCTCTGCCCAGAACGGGCATGATGGCTGGGGCTTTGGCAGATGGGTAGGAGTTTGCCAGCAGAGACAACAGGTGGAAGGGTTCTTTGAACTTACGGACCTGCAGGCACCCTGAATCCCAAGGCATCCAGGGCATTTGCTGCTGACTACGGTGTCGTGTAGGCTGGGTGGGAAGGCGCTCCCAGAGCTCCCTGTGTCTGGTGAGGCTTCCCCCTAGGCAGTGGGACCCAAAGCTGGTGTCAGAGCCAGACAGGGACAAGGATGACACTGAACTTTCTCCTTCCTACCCTGCAGGTCTCGAGGACCGGCCCAGCCCTGGCTCCTGGGGCACCAGTGACCAGAACAGTTCCTCCTTTGACCCCAGCCGGGTAAGGAGGCCCTGCGGGGCCCCAGTACCTGGGTGTCCTTTTCCTGGGGTGGGAGCACGTAGGGAAACTAAGGCCGAGAGGAGGAGGAAATCAGATGCCAGTCGGCTTCACAGGGGCTGGACTCAGAGTCGTGGGTTTGAGTCCTGAGCCCGGCCCTTGGAAGCAGCTGTCACAGAGGGCTTGGCCCGAGGCCCCGGAGCCCCCAGTACCCCTCATCCCCTGTCTCTTCTAGACCTACAGCGAAGGTGCCCACTTTAGCGAGTCCCACGGCAGCCTCTCTTCGTCCACATTCCTGGGACCTGGGCTTGGAGGTGAGTGCCGGCGTGGTGCCGCACATCCTGCCCCCCACGTCCCTCTGCCACGCACAGGTGCGCCTGCGATGGGCCTCCAGGCACGGTCAGCGCATGCAGGTCAGTGGCACCTCCCGGACGTTCTCCCAGAGGTCTCTGGCGGCCGAAGCCTCTGCCCATCCCCAGGGAGCAGGTGGACACAGCCTTGGTTCCCTGGCATGGCACTCTGTGACTCAGTTTCCCTTCCTGAAATTTGGGGACAGAAAGGTGGTTCCGGGCCCACTGCCTGCCTGGGGCTGCTGTGGAGCTCCAGGTGACTATGGGGAGGTGGATTTAGGAGCCCCGGAGACTCGAGGGGTCAGGGCCCACCTGCACCCTTCCGTGGCCCTCGTCAATTGTAACTGAGAAAATCAAGACTCAGATGGGCCTGGGATCGAGTTCTGCTCCACTGTTGACTCCCCTCTGGAGCCTCAGTTTCCCCCCAGAACCGTCCCCATAGGAGGCGGTGAGGACGCGTGCAGCTCACCAGGCCATGCTATGCACACGGTGCCATCGGTGTGCGTCGTCACCGCCCCCGCTAGTCCTGCACGGCAAACAAGGCTCCGAGAGAAGTGACCTGTCTGGAGCCTGTGGTTGGCCTGAGCGGTCGTCCCCTCCTGCCGGGTGACCCCCGAACCCCTCCCACATTTGTGTCCCCCTCCCGCGGGAGTCCGGTGCCTGGGGGCTCGGAGGCTGGGGCAGCGGGAAGGGCTGGTGTCTCTGGGGCTCACCCCCTGGAGAGGGGCCCGGGGCAGCTCCCCTGTGGTGCCTTGCCTGCTAAACACGGCGATTGTCCTGACCCTCAGCGACCCTGTGACACAGGTTCCCTGCGCGGCTCCAGGGTCTGGGCGGTGGGGATAGCTGGCAGTGTTTGTATTCGAGTTTATGAGAAAACAGCGCGCAGTGTGCTTGGGGCGTCTGCTGCGGGTGCCTTCGAGGTGTGACTGGGTTCAGGTGCTCTGCTCGTTTGTGAACTGTATGGCCCAAAGCATTATTGGCCTGTGGGGAAACTGAGGCTGGAGGACTTTGGGGACCTCGGCCTTCATGCTGGACCCTGAGGGGGCAGCCCCTGGCTGAGGCCCTGTGGGGGGGTCATGTGTCACTTTGCCCATGCTGGGATTTGGCGCACAGTAGGTTGGTGGCCTGGGTATGAAGCGCATTGCTTGTGGGGTGAGGGGCGGGCACATCTGAGTTTCGTGCCCATTTCCCAGGTGGGGAAGGTGAGGCCCAGCCCCGCCCTGTAGTCTGGGGTGGCCCCTGCACCTGCTGGACACTGGGTTCCCATCTGGCTGTTCCTTCCTCACGACCTCTTCCTCTCACTCCTGCTGGCCCCGGGGCTGACTCGCGCGGTTCCCACGGCCGCTTGTCCAGCAGCGCCAGAGTGCAGCTGTGTCCCCCCTGGACCCCCACGCCCAGGCTCGGCTGGGGACAGGGCAGGCAGGCGGGAGGTAGGAGTGGCCTCAGCCTCCCCATGGCTCAGGCACCTGCAGATCCTTTGTTTTCTCACCCGTGGGATGTGGGACGGGGCTAATAGCCACTGCTGTGGGGTGTGGCCAGGGGGACTGTGAGCATGGCCCGTCCCCTCGAGGTCGCTGTGATAACACAGGAGGGAAGAAACACCAGACTCTGGGAGCATTTCCCGGAGTCTAGTTGAAGTCGTACTTTTAAAACAAAGAAACCAGGAGATTTTTTTTTCCTAGTTTGAAAATAACTCAAATTAGTCAGTTGAGCATCCCGACTCCTCCAGCCAAGTTCGGCGCCCAGTTTAAGCCAAAAGGGGATTTAAATGGCTCCGGGACTGAGCAGTCCGGGGAACCTGCTTCAGGCGAGGCTGGACCCAGGTGTCCTCGCCGGGGGCTCTCTCAGGCCCCGACTGCCCCTTGTCACTGAATAGTGGGAATCGTCCCACTACTGGGGGGGAGGTGTTTGTTGTTGGCGCTGGGGCCGCGTGCTCCTTCCTGAACTCCCGCTGGCAGCAGCCTGTGTTGTGGAAGCTCGGGGAGCCCCGGGGCCTGGCGCTGAGCCTGACAGACGCCGTGTACACAGGCCACGGGGACGGACAGATACCTCGTGTGAGCCCGACACCTCCGGGCATCAGCTCACAACCTTCAGCGGAAGAAACTGAGGCTCATGAAGGGCAGAGGACACCCTGACCTTGGTGGCCCCAGATCCCGGGCAGGGGACATGTTGGTTGTGGGGTGTTCTGCGTTTTGAGTCAGCCCAAGACCATCTGGGAGCCCCTTTACTGATGGCCAGGGAGACAGGCCCTGTTCTCTGTCTTATGCACTGAGTGCCTGCTGTATGCAGTCCTGTGCCCAGTGCTGGGCTGACCCCAGCAGCTCCTCAGGGTGCTCCTTGGGGTCAACCCTGAGTGACCTTCCTTCCTTTCCTGCAGGCAAGGGTGGTGAGCGGAGCGCGTACGCCCCCTTCGGGAGAGAAGCGGGTGTTGGCGGCTTGACTCAGGTGAGGGACACAGGTGCGGGGCTGGGCGCCACCTACTTCCCAGGCGGGGGTGGGGTGGCAGGCACAGGTGGGCAGCGACCTGCTGGGGTGACCCGGCTGGGGGTGTGTGGCCGGCTCAGCTCCCGCCCTGCCCCTGTTGTTTTATTTTTTTTGAGACAGAGTCTCACTCTTTTGCCCAGGCTAGAGTGAGTGCCGTGGCGTCATCCTAGCTCACAGCAACCTCAAACTCCTGGGCTCAAGCAATCCTTCTGCCTCAGCTTCCCAAGTAGCTGGGACTACAGGCATGCGCCACCATGCCCGGCTGATTTTTTTCTATATATTTTTAGCTGTCCGATTCATTTCTTTCTATTTTTGGTAGAGACGGGGTCTCGCTCTTGCTCAGGCTGGTATCGAACTCCTGAGCTCAAACAATCCGCCCGTCTCGGCCTCCTCCCAGAGTGCTAGGATTACAGGCGTGAGCCACTGCGCCCGGCCCCTGCCCCTGTTATTTTTTATGTGTGTTTTAATTTTAAATTAATCTGGCACAATTTCCTTTTCTGATCCGCGGGAGCTTTCCCGGCCCAGCCAAGTTCTGTCCACTCGCTGGTAGCAGCTAAAGTAGTTCAGGCCCTGGGCCAGACCCGGCTGCCCGGGTGTGGACGTGGAGGGAGAGAGGCAGGTGGGACCCGGGGAGGCCACGGCCCCTGGCCCCACAGCTGCCCCACTCCCGGGTCTAGGCCTGGGGGGGCCAACGTGCAGACTGAGCGGCAGACAGGGAAACTGAGGCAATGTGGCAGCCCAGGTGAAATTCTCACCCTCGCTGGCCCTGGTTGAGAGGCCTGGGGTGTGGGGGTAGCGACCGGCCCCAGCAGCCCCAGCGTGGGCTCCCGTCCTGGGTGGCTGCAGGATTTACCTCTGCCCCGCCTGTGACTCTGGATCTCAGGGCACTATCCTGTCTGTCCTGGAGCCACAGTAGCAGCAGCTGCAGCTATTGAGCACCAGCTGGGTACCAGGCCCTGTGCGAGGGTAGAACTCACTTCCCCTGGGGCCAGGGAACAGCCGGTGTGCCCGTTGCACGAACGGGAAGGTCGAGGTGTCCCAGGTTCAGGACGTGCAGGTCTTCAGAGCAAAAGGCCACCCGTGCCGGGTCGTCCACGGTGGGAACATGGCAGGCACAGACCACGCAGCTCAGACACTCGAGCCAGCGTGTAGGACCTGGCCCAGGGAGTAGAGCCCGGGCGAGACCAACACATGCGGAATTAACCCTTTCGTTCAGCTGTAACGAGACAAAAAGGCGCCCACCAGGTCAAAGGACCAGATTCCATTGACACCAAGACGCACGACTGTGCGTGTTTAGCAACAATATTTTTTCTTTCTCTGGCTTTTCTTTATGATAATACGTGTGCGGCTCGCAGTCCACAGTCTTAGGGGACGGCAGGTGTCGGGAAAGAAACGTGAGCGGGCAGAGGGGACGCCCCCTCCCACTGCACCCCGAGGGTCAGGGCTGCCCGCGGGTGGTCCAAGGGGCTCTGGCCTTCCAGCTGGGATTGGCCTGGGGGCCGGACGCTCGCCGGGCGCCTCCTGACCCCTGCCTCCTCCCGCAGGCCGGCTTCCTGCCAGGTGAGCTGACTCTCAGCAGCCCCGGGCCACTGTCTCCGTCGGGCCTCAAGGGCAGCTCCCAGTTCTACTCCTACCCCGGCAACCCCCGGCGGAGAGCCGCGGACGGCAGCGTGGGTGAGTGGCGTACGGGCAGGGAGGCTGTCGGAGGGAAGTGGGGTGTCCTTAGCTGAGGGGACAGGCAGGGCAGACCCCCACGCTTCACCCCGCTTGTCCAGCGCGCTGTTGCCCGCAAGGCTTCTCTGCCGCGGGTTCCCACGGCCTCCCTACCCGCAGGGCTGCAAGGCAGCGTCAGCACCATGCTGGGTCGTTTCTTAAACAGCGACGTCCCTGGCAACATGCACACAAGTGTGGAAAGTGGTGGCTCTGAGCTGACCAAGAAAAGGACGCTGCTGAGAGTGTCCATGAAGCAGGACGAGGGCGCAGCCTCGTTCAGCCTTGCTGGGGACGTGCTCGTCGCCACTCAGATCTTTCCCTGATCCGCGTGTGTCCGCGAGTGATTGCGGCAGCACCTGTGGGGTGGGTTTCAGGGTTACCAGTTTTATCGAGTCGGGAAATTTGCAAACGCGGAATCCAGGATTAGTGAGGACTACTGGCAGGTGGGGGTCCTGGGGGGAGGGGACGGCCCAGGGACTTAGCGCAAATACTGCGAACAGCGTGTTTCCTGAACTCCTCCATGCTGGGGGGAAATGACTTTTTTGCACCTTTGGGCCTGTGTAGACCTGAGGTTTTTTAACAGTTTTATCAAATGGGAAGTTCAAGGGTCTCTTCTCATGAGTGTGGGGCAGGGGCCGTGGGGCAGTGACAAGTGTCCCCAGGGTGCGGAGAGGCGGCACCGTGCTGGCTGGTGCAGGGGCACTGTGCGGCGTTGCTCAATCCTCTCGCTCCCAGCAGACACGCAGCCCAAGAAGGTCCGGAAGGTCCCGCCAGGTCTTCCATCCTCGGTGAGTTGCGGGACGGGAGTGGGGGACCCTACGGCCGAGTGCCTCTCGCGACCCTGAGGCTTAGGTCCACCCACCCCCCAAACGCCACCACTCGCCAAGGGGTCACCAGCCCCTCCTGGGTTCTGAGCCAAAATCTGCCCCAAGGCTCTAGCTCTGCAGGGTAGGCCGGGAAGTCCTTCCTCAGGTCTAGCCTGTATCTTTCTTGTTCTGAGAGAAAGCCGGGCCCTACAGCTGAGGCCTCCCTTGTTGGGGTGAGGATAGAGCTCCTGGGAGCCAGGGCCAGTCCAGAAGGGCCCCCATCCCACTGCCCTGTGTCCCTGCCCGCTGCCTGGCGGTTGGCAGGGTGCCAGGCCTGGCAGATGGTGGTGGCCCGTCGGCAGCTCACAGCACCACGCTCCCACGATGCAGTCACGCTGGGAGCAAAGGCAATTTACTGGTTCCTGGCTCAGCTGCCGCCGCCCTCTGCCTAACTCCCGCACCCGGCCTGGCTCGGGCTCCGGCCGGCCAGGCTCATGGCAGGCCTGGGTTTGGGTCCTGGGCTGGAGGCGCGTTCAGGCTCGAGCAGTTTTAAGGCTCCACACATGACAGTACCGCTGCCCTCCCTGCTTCCCCAGGGCTCCTCTTCCTCTGACACCCCAGGTTCTCACAGCATCAGAGCTGAGAGTTCTCCGGCCCCCTGGCCTGCTGTCTCCCCCAGCGCTGGGGGCAGACATTACCAATTGATCCCAGCGCTTTGCTGCTAAACCCATCCACCCAGTTCCAGGCAGTGCCAGCCCATGAGTTGTCTCTGGGGCCAGTCACAGACGCACGTCATTCCAGGCCACTGACTCTGAGGCCCCAGGGTCTCTTGTGATCCGGTCTGGGGCCAAGCGAAATTCCATCCCTGGGGCATCCCATACAGGGCACAAGGGAGAAGGAAGGGTTGGGGCCACTGCAGCTAGGGCTTTGATGGGTCAGTAAGAGTTTGCTGAATTAAGGAGGGAAAAGATATTCTGGACAGAAGCTAGTCTCAAAGGCCTCAGGCAAAAAGGCCAGAATATTAGCAGGTGGGAGGGTGGCAGGAGGTGTGGTGGGGGCTGGCAAGGGAGCAAGAGAGACAGGGCACCTGCAGAACCACGTCAAGCACTGGGCCTGAGTTTATGCAGAGCGAGGGTTTAGAGGGAAGGGTATGGAGCAGGACAGGGAAGTGGGTTGGTGGGTGGACTAAGCCGGTGGACCGGAGTGGGGGGGGCAGGGGTTGAGGCTGGGGCTGGTGGATCACCCGCCAGGCCCCTCTCCCTGACCACACCTGCCTGTCTGCAGGTGTATCCGCCCAGCTCAGGTGACGACTATGGCAGGGACACCGCCGCCTACCCATCTGCCAAGACCCCCGGCAACACCTATCCCAGCCCCTTCTACATGGCAGGTGCATGGGGGCACTCCCTACAGCCGGGCAGGGCCTGGGGTCCTCTGGCCCTGCCTCACCGTCCCCCTCTCCGCAGACGGCAGCCTGCACCCCTCCACCGAGCTCTGGAGCCCCACAGGCCAGGTGGGCTTTGGGCCCATGCTGGGTGGGGGCTCGTCCCCCCTGCCCCTCCCTGCAGGCGGTGGCAGCTCCGTGGGCAGCAGTGGCAGCAGTGGTGGCACGTTTGGTGGCCTGCACCAGCACGAGCGCATGGTAGGACCGCGGGTGGTGGGGCAGGGCAGAGCAGGGCGGGTGGCTCAAGGGCAGCACTCTCTGACCCACACTGTTCTCCCCGTCCCCAGGGTTACCAGCTGCACGGCGCGGAGGTGAACGGGGGGCTTCCGGCTGTGTCCACCTTCTCCTCAGCCCCTGGAGTCGCGTATGGCAGCGTCTCCAGCCACACACCGCCCGTCAGTGGGGCTGACAGCCTGATGGGTACAGCTCTTGCCCTGAGAGGGCTGTTGTCACTGTCACTAGCATCAGCCACCCTCCCCTGGGCCCGCCCTGCCCATTGGGCGTGGGGGGTTTGGAAACAGCTAAGCATGGGTTTCCCACATTATGTGGAGAAACCGAGGCTCAGAGAAGGGCCTTGCACACCCAGGGTCCTGCAGTCTGCCCATCCCCAGAGCCTCAGCCCCTGTGGAGCAGGGTCAAGGCGTCAGGGGCAGGGAGCCCCTGGGGTGGGACATCCGCGAGTGGTCGGGTGCAGGAGGGAGCGCCCCGTCGACCAGGGCATCCAAGCCAGGCCACGTTGTCGGAGGGTGGCAGCCCTAAGCTTGGGCCTCACCTGTCTCCCACAGTCTCGCGAGGGACCACAGCCGGCAGCTCCGGGGACGCCCTTGGGAAGGCGCTGGCCTCGGTGAGGCTCAGGGCAGGGGGTGGGGGCCTGGGCCAGGGACCACGAGGCCGGCCCCTGACTGCCGGTCTCTCGTCCTGTTGCAGATCTACTCCCCGGATCACTCAAGCAATAACTTCTCCTCCAGCCCCTCCTCCCCCGTGGGCTCCCCACAGGGTCTGGCAGGTCTGTGAGGGGTGCTGGGGCTGGCAGGCGGGTGGGGGAGGGAACGGGGAGCCCCACAGGGCCTGTGGCATTTCACATCACAGAGCCAGGCAGCTGGACGGGACCCCCCACGGGCATGTGCTGCCATGAGCAGTTCAGGAAGGTTCCCTGGAGGAGGTGGCCTCCATGCTACTCCTCCAAAGTCACAGCACGTGGCCAGGCAGTGTGAGGAGCTGGGTGGTGGTGTCTGGGTTGGGTCACAGCGCGGGCAGAGGCCAGAAGATAGGGCCCGCAGTTCGTGGCGTGTGGACACGAGGGGGCACTCACCCGGCAGATCCTGGGCAGACCAGAGCCAGTGGGGCGAGGCCAGAGCAGCAGGGCCGGGGCTGCCTGGACTCCAGCCCCTATACCTATACGCATTGTCATTTGCTTCCTGACAGATATTTATTAGGTGCCAACTGTGTGCCCCATGCCCCATGCCTGGCTCTGGCGAGGGGGGCAGACCCTGTCCCTGCAAGGACATGCTGGGCGGGTGAGGCGGGGCGAGCTCAGTTGCTGGAGGGCCTGGCCGGCTGAGTCCCCCCCCTCTGCCCCGGACGCCTGGGGATTCTCACTGCACTGTGGCCTGTTGGGTCCCCTGGGCAGGTGGGCGGAGCCACCTTCTGGAGCACATGCTGTGCTCCCCTGAGCCATCTTCCCCTTGTGCGGGGGTGGGTTTTGCAGGTGGGGAAACTGAGGTCAGAAGTGGGGACCTGCCTGGCAGGGATGAGCACAGCCTTGCCGGTGTCAGGCGCCCCCGTGTGGCCGTCCTGGGCAGCACAGCTGTTCACGGTTCCCTTTCTAGGGATCCAGCGGGTCAGGCTGCGCTAGTCCCTGCCTCCCGCGCCCCCACTCACGCGCCTCCTGTGTCTTCCAGGGACGTCGCAGTGGCCCCGCGCAGGAGCCCCCGGTGCCTTATCCCCCAGCTATGACGGGGGTCTCCACGGCCTGGTGAGCGACCCTGCCCTCCCGCACGTGGCCCAGGGGTCTAGCGACACGTGGAGTGTGCACTAGGACAGATGCTCCCTGGGGAGAAACCTTCTAGTTAACTTCTCGAGAGCCCCCTAAAGCCAGGCTGACAGGTTTCCTGGGAAGGGGAGGCAGGACCATCTGCTGCCTGTGTGCAGAGGGCACGCATGTGGGGCCGTGTGGGAGTCCCGGCGGCTCCTCACCTCCCCGTCCCCGCAGCAGAGCAAGATGGAAGACCACCTGGACGAAGCGATCCACGTGCTCCGCAGCCACGCCGTGGGCACGGCTGGTGACATACACGGACTGCTGCCCGGCCACGGCGCGCTGGCCTCGGGCTTCGCCGGCCCCATGCCCATTGGCGGGCGGCATGCTGGCCTGGTGAGCACCGGGCGAGGCTGGTTGGGACGGGGGCAGGTGGGGGGCCCAGTCCAGCCCTGACATGCCCCCATCCCCACACCTGCAGGTAGGAGGCGGCCACTCGGAGGACAGCCTCACAGGCAGCGCCAGCCTCCTGCACAACCACGCGGCACTGCCCAGCCAGCCCGGCGCCCTCCCCGACCTCTCTCGGCCGCCCGACACCTACAGCGGTAAGCGCTCGGCACAGGACTGTCTGATCCCTTAGTTTCAGCTGGGGAAACTGAGGCACGGTGGGAGTCTGACTGGGATCTCCAGTGACACGATGTCACCCCGTCCTTCAGCGTCACAGGGGTCCCACAAGGGCAAGGCCTGGGACAGGGAGATGGGCCCCTGCAGGGCAGGGCACAGAGTGGGGGGCGTCCCACCCACCTCGCAGGTGAAGAATCTGGAGGTGGGACCCAGGAGCAGCTGCAGTCACCATGGGGGCTCCTGGGACATGGTGCCCAGGCGGCTCCTCTGGGAGGGACCAGCGGGGTCTGGCCTTGGCCTCCGAGTGGGTGATGCTGGTGGCTTCCGGGCCACTGCCCCTTGGTTCTCAAGTTGACAGTGAATTGAGATTATCCAAGAGGCACACGCGGAGGAGCATCCGCCACGTGCCTGGCGCCATCCTCGCACTGGGCAACAGGGAGTGAAGCAGAGCACGGCCCTCCCTTGGAGACAGTGAGCTCAGCGCCCAGGACAAGTGTAGGAAGCTGGGCGAGGGCGTCAGGAGCTTTTGCTCAGTTTAAAGGTGGTCCAGAGGCAAGAAGGTGGCCTGTGAGCAGAGCCTGGGAGAAGGCGGGAGGAGGCAGGAACCTGGGGGAAGCGCATCCGGGCAGGATGGGCCTGGAGTGTTGGAGGAATAGCGAGGAGCCCCGTGTGGGCAGACCAGAGTGAGGAGGGGGAGAGAGGGAGGAGACGAGGCTGAGGAGGGGACAGGGCAGGTCGTGCAGGGCCTGGTGGGCCTCGGAGAGGACTTGGGCTTTGGCCTCAGGGGAGGTGGGAGCTGTGGAGGGCTGTGGGCAGAGGAGGGATGGGCCTGACTCAGGTGCTCACAGGTACCCGCTGGTGGCTGCTGTGGGGAGGTTGGGCTGTGTGGGGCGAGGGTGGGATCCGGGGTCCAGGGTGGAGGGGACTGGCTGGCCCAGGACAGATAAGGCCCTGCCCAGCTGGGACCACGGCGGGATGAGGAGTGAGAGGGTTCTGAGTGTGTGAGGTGGAGCCCACAGGGTCTGCACGTGGACAGGACGTGGGCGGGGAGAGGAGGTGAGGACGATGCTGGGATGCCCAGTAAGGAAAGGGATGGGTAGGGCAGTTCTGTGGCTTGCTAACTGCCCGGCACACCCACGACTCATCGAAGTGAAAGTTGGGTCACCATGGGCCCCATCTTAGCCCCAGGCCCCTCCACCCCAAAACCCAGCCTGATGTTTCAAATCAACCCTTCCCTGAGGTTTTGTGCATGTGTGTTTCCCAAAACCATGGTGCTGTTGGATTCCCTGACTTTCTAGATTTTATCAGCCCCAGGGTAGTGTCTCGTCCTGGGCAGTTCTGCCCCCACAAGGACATTGGCCATGTTGGCGACATCCGTGGTTGTCACACTAGGGGTGCTCCTGGCATGGGGTGGGTGGAGGCAGGGACGCTGCTCAGCACCTGCAGTGCCCAGGACGCCGCACCCCAGAGAACCATCCGGCCCATGTCCACAGTCCTAGGGGAGAGACCCCAACATTAGCATTTTGTTGTGTTTTTTATAGAGATGGGGTCTCACTACATTGCCCAGGCTGGTCTCGAACACGTGAGCTCAAATAATCTTCCTGCCTCGGCCTCCTACGACTGGGATTACAGTCGTGAGCCACCAAGCCCAGCCTTGCTTGGTGTTATCTTTTGGTTGTCAGAAATTCTCAAATTTTATACGGTGAAGTTTATTGGTTTGTGTCTTCTTTAGAAAGCAGCTCTTTTAGCTCTTGCTTTAGTGGCACGCAGACTGAAATGAGAATGCCATGGAGATTGGCAGAGCACCTGGGCAAGGGTGGCGTGAAAATTTGTGAAACTGTCCATATTTTTAAATAAATGATTTAACCAATTTTTGCCCCAAAAAGAAAATAGCTCATTTAATACTTTAAGAAAAAGTTCTGGCTGGGCACAGTGGCTCACACCCGTAATCCCAGCACTTTGGGAGGCTGAGGCAGGAGGATCACTTGACACCAGGAGTTCACGGCTGCAGTGAGCTCTGATGATGTCACTGCACCCCAGCCTGGGTGGCAGTGTGACCCTGTCTCACGAAAACAAAAAACAAAAATAGAAAAGGCTGCCTGCCCCAGAGTTGCAACAGAATTTCTGTGTCCTTTATTCTAAAGGTTGTGACATTTTGCTTTTCACCTTCCAGTCCTTAATCTGTCTGGAATGGGTGCTGTGTGTGGCGTGAGGTAGGGATCCCGTTCTGGCTGTGTTTGGGTTTTTTGGTTTTGTTTTTTTCTTTTTTGGCAAATGAAGACCCGGTTGTCCCAGGACAGCTCGTGCCCCTCGTGAAAGGGTCAAAGAGGGATTTGTCAGGTGGCCTCGGAGGCCGGCCACAGCCCCTGACCCAGGCCCATTGCAGGGCTCGGGCGCGCGGGCGCAGCAGCCGGTGCCGGCGAGATCAAGCGGGAGGAGAAGGAGGATGAGGAGAACACGTCGGTGGCCGACAACTCGGAGGAGGACAAGAAGGAGCTGAAGGCCCCCCGGACACGGACCAGGTGCCAGCTCCTCCTCGGCCCCGCCCGCCCCCCACCCCGGCAGGACGCACACGCACACTTGCACACGCACATGCGCCCGCACCGGGAGGCCGTGGCGGGCCCCGCGCCTGTCCCCCACCTCACTGTCTCCCTCTGGCCCCTCCCGGCCCCTCCCCCATAGCCCAGACGAGGACGAGGACGACCTTCTCCCCCCAGAGCAGAAGGCCGAGCGGGAGAAGGAGCGCCGAGTGGCCAATAACGCCCGCGAGCGGCTGCGGGTGCGCGACATCAATGAGGCGTTTAAGGAGCTGGGGCGCATGTGCCAGCTGCACCTCAACAGTGAGAAGCCCCAGACCAAACTGCTCATCCTGCACCAGGCCGTGTCGGTCATCCTGAACTTGGAGCAGCAAGTGCGAGGTCAGTGGGGGCGCGGGCCACCAGCCGTCCCCGCAGTGCGCCACCCTCCTGCCGCTCCTGCCGTGCTGTCCCCTCGCCTGGCTGCCTCTGCATCCCCCTCTGGGGCAGAGGACCAGCCTCTCTCTGCGCCCCAGCCCTGCAGACCTGGGTCCTTTGGCTCAGAACCGTGTCCCCAGACCCCAGTGCCCCCCACGCGCCCCAGCACTTCCTTCCCAGGAAGCCCAGAGCCTGGGGCGCGAAACCAGCGTCCTCAGAGCCCAGAGTCGGAAGCCGGCACCGACTGTTCACCTTGAGCTGGTGCCACATGGGGCCGCGTGAGCCTATCGTGCTCTCTGACTCGGTTTCCCTGTCTGCGGGTGGGTGTTAACCACACCCATTTCCCAGGGCTGGGTGAGGATGAAGGATGCAGACGTCCCCACCTGCCCCCAAATGTGACTTGGCTTGGTAGCTGCTTCCTTTAACTCCTCCCCCTCCTGCGCCGTTAACCCTTTCTCTCCTGCAGCGCTGTTGCTTGGACCGGAGCCCCGGCCCACCCCACCCGCTGTCCCTCACCTCTGAGGTTTCTGCACAGCGGTGTGTGTGTCCTGCCTGTGTCCCCGCCTCTCTCCTCTCTGCCTCTCGCGCTGTCCCTCCTCCCCCCGCCACCCGTGCATCCCTGCTGCTTCCCCGGCGGCCCTCCCTCACCTCGCACTTGCTGCCCGACTCCGGGAATGGCCGGGGCCACGCCCTCGGGGACCTTCCTCCCCCAAATCCCCCAGTGGGGACTTGAGGGAAGAAGAGAGACCCAGGGAACACGCCGGCCTCTAGTCCCCACTGTCAGTTTGGTCTGCGCGCTTGTCCTGGGCTGCAGAGGCCGCCGCTGCCACCCGAGGGGCAGGGTGGGCAGGCAGGTGAGGCTAGGGCAGCTCTGTCCTCCCAGAGGAGCAGGACAGGCCATGGGCCATGGCCTCGCCTGTGTCTTATCTTGCCACCACCCAGAGCGCAGGGGGGCGATGGCAGTTAGTATATACGCGGAAGAGGAAACTTATCCAGGGCAGAGTCACTTGTGCAGAGCCCACGGCTAGAAGGGCCCGGGCTGGGATTTGCAGGGCACGGAAAAGGGTCTCAGCATCATGCCTGGCGCGGGCTGCCTGCTCGGTGCGTTGCAGCTGCCCCAGGATCCATCGCCATGGCCATGGGGGCTGCGTTCCTGGAGGCCTTAGGGCGCAAGCGCTCCCGGCCAGGCAGGTCTTGTGGTGAGGCAGCCAGAGATCACTGTGAGGATCAGGCGCTTTCCTGAGGCCCCTCAGAGCGTGGGGCTCTCGCAGGGTGTGAGCAGGTTCGCACCTATGGGTGCAGACTGAGAGTCCCGGAATTCCCAGTCCTGGGCTTGCGGGGCCAGGCCCTCTCAGCACTCCCATGGCACTCTGGCCAGGCTGAGCTCTTCATTACCAGCAGGCGCTGTTCTCTGTGGGGAAGGTCGTCTCATGGGGAAGGAGGAACAGGGCTGGGGCGCTGGGCCTCCCTTGCTCCCCAGCCTGCCCTGGGCGGGCTTGGGGTAAGGGGACCAGCCCCTCCACGGATTTCCAGATGGGGAAACCAAGGCCTGCCCTCCCTCCACTTAAACGTCCTGGGAGCAGTCAGGCATTGGTCCGTCTTGGGTGTGAGTGTATGTGCACACGGGCAGCCACTCGGACACACAGGAGAGCGTAGCTGTGGTCTCCACACAACGTGGGACACGTTCCCTGGGCACACGGAGGAGCACATTTTCATGATCTGAGCACATGAAGGGCACATGCACTGACACTGCCACCCACACTGACACCAGCTGTGGTACAGGCACTGCCACCCACACCGACACCAACTGTATACGTGCACTGCCACCCACACCAGCACAAACACAGCCTGCCGGATCCCCTCCTTACAGCCCTTCCCTGCCCTGCCGCCCGCCCCTGTCCCCTCACTAACTGAGGCCCCGTGCTGTGACCCAGCAGTACAGAGGAGGTGCTGTCCCTGGAGGAGAAAGACCTGAGGGACCGGGAGAGGCGCATGGCCAATAACGCGCGGGAGCGGGTGCGCGTGCGCGATATTAACGAGGCCTTCCGGGAGCTGGGGCGCATGTGCCAGCTGCACCTCAAGTCGGACAAAGCGCAGACCAAACTGCTCATCCTGCAGCAGGCCGTGCAGGTCATCCTGGGCCTGGAGCAGCAGGTGCGAGGTAGGCTCCCGGGCCAGGTCCCCAGGCGGCCGACCCCCGCCCCGCCGCGCGCTCTGCTGGGACACCTGTGCGCACGGGCTCCTGGTCTCTGTTCGCGTCTCCAAGTGGCTGGATTCAGACCCCATGACGTCCCCCAGACACCCCTGGACACCTAGGTCTCTTTGCAACGCCCCAAATCCTCCACGGCCTTCTCTGGGAAGGAGATGATGTGAGAAACGGAGGGGCCACGTGTGCAGGGTCCTTGTCCCCACCCTCCCCGACACTCCCCCCACACTGCCACCTCCCATTCTTCTCCCGGGACCCTTCCCCACGGTGCTCTCCCCTCCCTCCCCCAGAGCGTAACCTGAACCCCAAAGCTGCCTGCCTGAAGCGGCGAGAAGAGGAGAAGGTGTCCGGTGTGGTCGGAGACCCCCAGATGGTGCTTTCCGCTGCCCACCCCGGCCTGAGCGAGGCCCACAACCCCGCCGGGCACATGTGAAAGGTACGCCGTCGTGGGACGAGTGACCCAGCCTGGCCCTGCGTCCTGGGCTCAGGTCTGACCCAGAACAGTCAATGCCAGGCACTGGGTGTTCGGCCACTCGGTGGGGCAGACGTGCCACGCCTCACACACACCCATTGCCAGCGTTGAGCCAACACCTGACCCACCAAGGTTCCAAGTGACCAGGGCTGCGCAGGCGATACCGGCGTGGGGGAGCTGCCCGGCTCCCCGGCCTCACCCCTGACTGTCCTCAACCCCCTGCGCCAAGTCTCGGCCGCCGTGGCGCCCGTGACGTGTTCCCTGGACCCTGAGCTCTCTCTGGGCCCCGTTGCCTGGGCGGAAAGGAGTATTTTTGGGGAGGGGTGGGGAACAAAACTGAAAGCAAGCAACAAAATATACACTTTGTCAGAAAAGAAAGAAAATGCCTTAACTCTGAAACGAGAACCGAAACATATCACTCGCGGGAGACGCTGTGCAAACGCGGCTTGTTCTTCAGAAGCCGCCAGCAAATCGTGCCTAAGCCTATTTTTTTTTTAAGGAGGATAAAAAGAACGTTACTTATGAGAATTTTTTTTTCCTTAATGTAGAAGAAAACTAGTAAGGATGGTCTTGGTCTATCCTTTTTGTTGTTTTTTTTTTTAAAAAAGCTTTTTTGGCATATGTTTTGTAAGCAACAAATTTTTTTGTATAAAAGTCTCGTGTCTCTTGCTATTTCTGCTGCTGTTTCTAGAACTGAATTTTGCATTTCATGATCAACCAGATTATTAAAAGTTGCATTAAAAAGACCCAGTGTAAACCTGAGGTCCCCGCACCCCTCCGCTCCGGAAGCATCTGCACACAGATGGCGTAGGGATGGACAGGCGTGTTGTCGCATTTTCTGTTCCTTGAGTGTTGGGGGTTTTCTCGGTGTTGCTGTGAGTGACTCGGATGGGCCTCGCCCTGGTGGGGGGCCTCCCGGGGCTGCCCCGGCCGTCCTCTGCCCCACTCAGGGAGGGGACAGGCCTCTGCTGTTCCTGGCCTTGTGGGGAAGGGACTTCTGCAGGGAGGGGATGCTCCTCTTAAGTGAAGGTGCACCCCCAGGCACCTGCCCCCTCCCCACCAGCTGCCTTCCCTGGGACCCTGCACACCTCTCCGAAATGGGGCATTTTTTTGGGACCAACGATCCCTGACACATGCTGGGACACCCCACCCTTCCTTCCACCCAGGGACCCAAGCCTGTTCTCTGGACTCTGGCAGGGGGGCTGCGGCTTGGGGGCCAGCACAGAACACACCTCACCCTGGGGAGCACTCCGGGGCCACACCTGTCACCCTTCCATGCAAGGCCTGGGGCTGGGAGTGGCTGGAACAGGGAGGAGGACCAGGGTACCTGGACCCCATAAAGGCCCCCAGTCCTGCCATCTGTGCTGTGTCCCCAGCACCCAAACCCCCTTTTGTGGTCTCATGTTGTGAGGAGAGCAAACTTGTCCCAGGCCCAAGGTGGTCAGTCACTGTCACCCAGGTGTGGGGTCAGGTCTGCTGGGTGCCTTTATACTCCTTCCCCCCACATAGAGGCCTTATGGACCCCAGGCTGGCTGTGTTCGTCCACCAGCAGCTGGAACATCTGTCCCCAGGAGAGCTGGGGCTGCCTGACTTCCCCTCCCCACCTGTAGCCCCACGGGAGGTTCAAGGGGAGCCCCAAGGCCAGCTCTAGATAGGGCAGTCCCACAGCCTGGGGGCCGCCCTCTGACCTCTGGTGTCCTGTGGGGTCTGCCGAGGACGGGCTGGCACAGGGCAGAGCTGTTGGGACTGGGGGCTGATTCGCCTTCTGCGGCCACTTCTCCCTGGTCCACATGGGTTTTGTCTCTTAGGGAACCTGCCTCTGTTTCCCTCTTTGCTCTGGTCCTGCCCGTACATCCAGAGAGGCAGCGGCCGAGAAGCTGCCACGTCCCCTCAAGGCCCCGTAGACTCTGGAACTGTGTATTATATACATAATTTAAGTTATATATATGTAATAAGATTAACCCAGCACTAGAAGGAAGAAAACGCGTAGCAGGTGGACAGGGGGAAGAATCGCAGTTGCTGGGGGAAATTGTGCTCTGAGTGCCTCAAAACAACTGGTTTTCAAAACAAAGTTTTGTGTTTTTTTTTAAGAAAAATAATTTTATACGTGTCAACACAGCTGGCTGGATTATTTGGGATTTTTAAACGATCCTCTCTGAAGTCGATTTGGAGACCTGTATATAACAGCAGTGTAGCAATAAATGTGACATTTTATAATGATACTCGGCTGTCCCCGGAGTCCTTCAGGTGTTGGGCGCTTATGGGTGAATGGGGGGAGGAGTCCAAGGTTTGACACCGCTGTCATGGGGCGCAGTCTGCGGGGGGGCGGGTCAGAGGTGCGTGCACCTGTTCTGTTTGCCCCAATTTCCCACTTGGGGATTTCTGGGTCCACAGCTCCGCGGGGAAGGCCAGGAATCTGCCCTTGGAACAAGGGCTCCAGGGGGTCTGGAAGCAGGATTGACTCCCAGGGAAAAGCCCCTCCCTGGGGTGCAGCCTTGAGCTTCGGGATGATCTGGACCTTCCTTCCTCCCACCCCCAGGGCTCCAGAACTCCGCACGTCTGCCCTGGGCCGGTGGAACTGGCTTCTCACTGGCCTCCCTGCCTCCAGCCCTGCTGCCCAGGTCTGCTCGTGTCACTCCCCCTCTGAAACCATCCATGGCTCCCTGTTCCTGAGGTGGCAACTCCAGGCTCCTGAGTGGAGCATTTACGACGTCCCCCCACAACCAGACCCCTGTGAATCATGGGCACAGCTCCCAGGGGAGAAGGGAATGTAGCACCTCTGGCCTCCATCCACTCCACGCTAGGAGAACCCCCAACCCAGTCGTGACAACACAGATGTCCCCCAACATCACCAAGTGTCCCCTCGGGACCGAAGGCCACCAGCAGGACCCAGCCGAGGAAACTCCATCCATATTGAGCCCGTTTCTTCTGTGAATAAGTTGCAAGGAAAATTAAAGAGGGGAAGTCAATGGAAAGAGATTCAAGAGATGTATCAGTCGATTGCGGATTCTGGGCTTTTCCCTGGGTTCTTGTGTCAAAGTGTAAAGACAAATTATGACTTTGGACACAGCAGAAAATACAAGCATTAGGTACTTCCTGATTTCAAACAATTATTTCTAGAACTGCTTAGGTTCGGTAATGGAATTGTAGCTGTTTTCGTTTTATAAAAAAGACTCCTTTGGCCGGGTGCAGTGGCTACTTAGCAATGAAGCCGATGTTGGGGTTTGCTCTGCAGTAATCAGGAAACAGCAAGGTGGGGACGGGAGAAGCAGCCCAGCTCTGCACAGAGGGTCGAGGAAGCTGCCTTTGTCACCCCGTTCTGTTTTGTTTCTATGGTGAAAATAAATATATTTTGGAAACAACCCAAGTGTCCATTAACGGATGGATAAACACAACGTGGTCTATCCACACAGTGGTACATCACTCAGCCATGAAAAGGGACGAGGCTCTGACACAGGCTACAGTGTGGACGGACCTTGAGGACATCGTGCTCAGTGAGAGACGCCAGACACAGAAGACACGGAGAGAGATTTGTAATGATATCCCAGCGCGGCGATGAGAACCCGGGACGCCTCCCAAAGGAGCTTAAGTCCCAGCCCTTCCCTTCTGTGTGCCTCTGGGCAAGTCCCTTCCCCGTCGGGTCGCAGCTTCCTTCCTTGTAAATAATGTCCTGGCACATACTAAGGGCACAAAGTCACCCGCCTAGAATTCCGGGCTGGATTGAATTACAGACAGCCGTGCCGCCCGGGGCCACTCTGACCGCCGGACGCGGAGACAACAAGCGGCGTTCCACAGATCACCTGACCGCGAGGTCCCGCCCACACCAATACGGCCCTCCCGAAAGGGACTGTAATGAGTTTCCGAGTGTGCGCGCCCAGCGGCGGCCAGCGCCAGGCATGCCGGGGCGGCGGGGGTCTCCCTGTGCGCGTGCGCAATGAGGCTGCGCCTGCGCTGTGTGGCCGGATAGACCCGATCGGGTCACCCTGAGTGCAGACTACGCCGAGATGCTAACCAGGTTCCTGGGCCCGCGCTACCGGGAACTAGCGAGGAAGTGGTGAGGACGCCGTCCCCGCCGCCACCCCGGGCTCCCGCCTCGGGCCGGGTCGGGGTCCCCTGTTGCGCCCGGTGACAGAGGGAGAAACTGAGGCCCAGAGTGGTTGGCGGTGTGTCCCGGGGCGCGCGGGACGCGACGGGTCGGAGGCCAAAGCCCAGCATCCCCGGCTCCGTGGTTGAGCCGCTCGGAGCCTCAGTTTCCCCGTCTCTACCTGGGGATCCCAGCGGTGCCCACCTGGAGGGAGTCGCCCGGAAGGTGCGCAGCTCTGCCGCCCGCGGACGCCCACCTGTGCCCGGCGCCCTCGGCTCAGGTGTTTGGGCCTGAAACCAAACCTCTAAGCCTCTGCCTTTTTTTTAATTACTTTTTTAGTGATTTTTGCCAAGAAGCGTGAAACCTACAGCTGCACCTACTCGCGGGCGCGGGACGGGTTGGGGGTGGCCTCCGCGGGCAGGCGCTGTCCGGTGTCCCCACGTGGCGTGCTAAGAAACAAGGGCTTGTGCCTGGCGGTGTGTCCCCGCGCTGGGACGTGCTCCTCCACCCCGGACTGGGAGGCAGAAGTGGGGCCTGGGGGTGGATGAGGCGTCTGGAGCTGGCGGGGACCTCCAGGTGGAGCGCGATGGGGGCATTTTACAGCTTGGGTGACTCCCCGGCCTGGGACGAGAACACAGCCGCCCGGGGCAGTCAGTACTGCCTCTCCCAGGTGCGGTGGGTCCACTCCCAATCTGTACCTGGTAAGTGCAGTGACCCATCCCCATCCCTGCTTTCATTCAGTCAGCAAGCATTTATTGAGCACCCACTGTGTGCTCGACACGCAGCAATAAACATAACCCTGTGGGCTGACACTGTAGTTGAAAGACAAAGTAGACAGTGAGATCTGTGGGGTGTGGCTGGCCTAAATTAATAAAGTAGGGGACTGGGGTGCAGCCTTGTCCCACCAGACCATGGCTTTGGTAGACGAGGAAGCAGGTTTCAGTCCCCTTCGTGGGGGCACTGTGGGATTGTGTCTCAGACTCCGGGCTCGGAGGGTCCCTGCTCACTAACCAGGCACCCCACAGGTCACAACTTCTCTGGGCCCTGGTGTCTCAGGCTGAGAAAGGGGAGACGGGGTGGTCAGTGCGGTCATCGTAAGTCCTTCCTCAGTGCCTGGTGGAGGTTAGGCTTGGCTGGGGCGGGTCAGTTTCCGAGCTCATTCTCATGGTTGTTGGTGGGATTTGGTTCCCCGGTGGCTGCTGGCTGGAGGCTGCTCTCTGTTCTCTGCCACAGGGGCCCCTCTGTAGCACAGGTCACAGCGTGGCAGTGGCAGCTGGCTTCCCACAAAGCAAGTGAGAGGGCACGATGGGGCACCCAGGATGGGAGTACAGTCTCTTTATAGCCTAATCTCAGAAGTGACACGCCATCACTTCTGCTGTGTTCTGCTCCCTAGAAGCAAGTGCCTTGGTTCACACTCTACGGGGCTGTGAACGCCAGGGGGTGGGATTGCTGGGCTATCCTGGACTTTCCCAGTGTGTGCTGTGGTGGGCAAGGGCGTGGACTGGGACCCTGATGCCTCGGTTCCCATCCCCACTCTGCCATCCTGACTGTGTGTCCTCAGGGAGTGACTGGCCCCACTCTGTTGTTTAAAACAGGGACTCTGATCATGGCGCCTCCCCAAGTCCTGCAGAGCCCACAGCACTAGATAGGGTAGCTTGGGGCCCGGATGCACCAGCTGTGGGGGCAGGAGAGGCCCCCCAGAGGGTGAGCCCCAGGCGGGGCCTGACTGCCCACTCCCTCTGGCAGGATGCCCACGGTGAGCCTCTGGGGCACCGTGGGTGCTGTGGGGCTGGTGTGGATGACCGACTGGCGGCTGATTCTGGACTGGGTGCCTTACATCAATGGCAAGTTTAAGAAGGACGATTAATCAAAGCGACCGTCCGAGGACCCCTCTGGTAAGTCCCAGCAAGCATGTTAAAGGCCTGCCCACCTCGTGGCTGCCGGATGATGCACGAGCTGGTTCCCTGAGCTTCCAGAGCTAGGGGTGGCAGGTCTTGGGGACTCACCGGGATTGTTCACCTGCTGGACAGCTCCCGGCAGTCTCGGAGCCTGAGCAGTGCTGGCCACCTCAGTCTGCACCCCAGCCCTGGCGGGATGGATGCCCATTCTGCAGATGGGGAAGGTTAAGGCTGTTTCACAGCCACTGTTGTCCCAGGGAGTTTGCCGCGGGCATTACTCGAGGCCTTGGACTCACCTACGTGTTTCTCCACAGTGCAGGTGCCATGCCAGCCACTTGGCCTATGTCAGAGCTCATTGACCACCTGACGGTCCCAGGTGGCACGACTGTCACACCCCCACATTGCAGATGGGAGCCTGAGGCCCAAAGCCATGCAGCTCAATGTGGATGTGAGCCACAGAGTCTGGCTCCAGGTTCTGTCCTCGTCACCACTCGGAGCCTGGAGCCTGTGCCATTTCAGTGTCTGTGGTGAACTGGTGTCCCCAGGTCACTGGCACAGCCAGCTTCTAGTGGAAGGGATGTCTCCGCTTACCCTGCCTTGTCTCCTCCCCCTCCAGGCATCCGGTGGTCTGGTGGTGCCAGCTCCTACCAACGTAGCGCCTGCTGCATCAGGAACGGCCCACGCCCTCCAGATGGACCCCAAGGAAGTCCACAGCGCTACTTAAGATGTCTCATGTTTCAAAAACAGCTTGGATGTTTTAATGCATGTAGCATTAAACCTCACTGTGAGACCTGCCCCCCACCTGGGTATTGATCATGCTGCTGACGCAGTTACTTGGGCTGCAGCCTCAGTGGCTCAGGTGATGCATGGGTCCCTTCAGCTCCAAAATGTTGCAAATCCAGGCGAGTTGTCCAGTGGCCGGCAGAAATTGTTTGACTATTTAAAACGTTTAATGGATAATTGCTGCTCAACGCGTTTGTTGCTGCCTGAACAAGCTACCCCACAACTTAGTGGCTTAAAACAACAGACATTCATTATCTCACAGTTTCTGCGGGTCAGGGGTTTGAGAGTGGTTTATCTGGGTGGTTCTGGCTCAGGGTCTTTTGTGAGTTTGCAGTTGAAGCTTCAGCTGGGGGCCGAGCCGCCCTCGAGCTGGCGCCCTCACGTGGCTGGTGGGTGAAAGCCTCAGTTCCTCCCCGTGGGACCCCGACACAGCCGCTTGAGCATCCTCACAACATGGCCACCGGCTTCCCCAGAGCAATTGATCCAAGGCAGAGCAAGGAGAAGGCCATGTGCTTTTATGAGCTAACCTCAGAAGTCTCGTGCTGTCACTTCCTCCACGTCCCGCTTGTTAGAAATAAGCCCTACACCCAGCCCACACTCAAAGGGAGGAGAATTTGGCTCTGAGTTTTGAAGGGAAGACTGGCTATCAGAATTTGTAGAC